TCTTTTTATCTTTTTGTATTTTCTATTTTCAGGACCTCTCTGAAAATCACCCTGTTAATAGTCTTCTGGTTCTTCTGGTTATTATTATTATTATTATTATTATTATTATTTTTATTATTATTAATTCACATTTTTTAGTTTATAGAAAGTTGTTTACATTTGCTCTGTTGAAAACCACCGGACCACCAAGAAGTCTTTTTTAACTATAGTTATACTAAATTTGTATTTAATTTTCAATTGGAGAAGAGTTTAATAAAGTATGTTTTTTGGTTTTATTATCAATTCACTGGTTTGGAGATCTTTCCCATCATGTAAATCATGTAAATAATGTTTCCTGTTGTTTTATCAACTACGTTTTTCTAATTTTTCATTTCTAATAGATTGATAACCTGATCGGTGGCATCATCTCAGCCCTTTTTCAGTTTACCATTTTTTAAGTGTCTTAAGTTTTTTTTTCTAATGAATTCAAGAATCGTTGCTACAAACTGAGAAAAAAAGGAGACAACATTTTAACAACAATTTATTTTCATCTTAGGAGACAAGGATTTCGCCGCATAATGTTGGTGATCTGGTAACGTTACAGTATTTGATTAAAGAACTTCCAAGAAAACCATATGTTTGTTCCCTAGTGCTAATCGAGGGTTCAAAGAATTGGGATTCCACTCGATGTTTTTGATGACAGACGATTTTATCACCAGGTATGTATTGTCTAATCAACTGAAACAAACCACTGAACTTAGGATAGTCGTATCTTCAGTAATAAGCTTCCCCGATTTTATATTAAAAAAGTCTAATTTGTGACATGCAGAAAAGGGCAGTAAGTTTAATGCCCAACGTTAATAACTAAGGTAGGAATGAAATCTCGTTTCGATAGTGGCATAGACTCCGGGAGTTATTAAACACTTATTACTTTGTCAGTGGAGGGTACCTCAATTTGTCACCTTCTTCCTAAAATAATTTAATGGCTATTCAAGCTCTTTCCTTGAAAACAACAGCAAAGGAAAGCAAGCTCGTTAGACTTTTTAAAAGCTGATATGAGTAGGACTAAATACAAAAGCACAGGAAGGCAGTATTATGCCACAGTAATTTAGAAACGTTAATGATTATTACTAGCTTTCACGCTTCATAGCCTGTAAAAGTCTTACTTCATCTTTAGCTCAAGCTACCAGTTTGGTTAAAAACACTTCACCTAATCACAGTTATTCTGGAATTCTTTGAGCAGGGGTGGTTTTTTTCTCTTTTTTTGCCGCTCGAAGTTTGGAAAGTGCATTTAATTGATTACTAATAAGAATAACATCCGTAATAAGAGGCACAGTAACATCCAATCATGTCAACGGCTGTCCTTTGGTCTTTAAATCTTTTGTTTTTCAGGAAAACTCCTTTGTTCGTCAAGCAGGGACGTTTCCTAAAGTGAAACATTAATTTTGATAACCGCTTTTCATTTTAAATTTCAAAAACTAAAATGCAATCGAGCTGATAGTAATGTTACTTCGCCTTAAAGTGAAGAGAGTGGATAAAGCTGTTATTCAAAGCTGGCACGGTAAGAAAAATGATTTGCTAACACTAAAAATCAGCTAAATCGCCTTGCGAATTCAAAAGAAACAGGGAAAACATAGCTCGAGAACCTCCCATTTTTGCAAGAAAAAAATGTTAAAAAGTAAAAAAGAAAATCAGTGGACAAAAACATTTCCGATTCTGAACTTTTGCAAATATAAAACTTCTGCGAGAAACTGAACTGAATTATGACAATTGCAAAGTTAATGGCAACTCTTTTAGAAAATCTTTACTTCACTGAGGTATTTGATAAAATCAAGCAACGGTGTTTGTAAAATACGTCAGGTACCTAAACATAGGTACATTTGACTCTCGATAACTCGAACCAAAGTCGATTTCCCCTGGATTTCCTTAATATATTTGGCGTAATTTTACCCTCGATAACTCGAACTTCCCGCTAACTCGAGGTAATTTTATGTTTCCCGTCCGATCCTTTCCATATAATTTTACCCTCGATAACTCTTTACTCGACCCATGTTTTCAGCGCATGACAAGTCGGGGGAAAAAGTCAGTGTAGTAAAGTCCGAAACATAGAATTTATTTCAAAACAGCCGTGAAAATTCTTTGTCTTTACTTTTTTGTCACACCGGTTATAATACAGTTTCCATGTATATTAATAAATAGCTTTCGATGCTTAAATTCTTTTTCAAAATATCAATCTATATCTCTTGCTGCCCTTGAAGACGCTTGAAGTGAAGTCTGATCAGTTACGGTTTGATGAAACTTGCCGCATTCCCCAGACATTTATTTGCTTCGAACTCCCGATAGTTCGAACTTTTTTCGATTTCCCTTGAAGGTTCGAGTTATCGGGAGTCGAATGCACTCAATAAATTGTGCACTTGTATTTGAAGTGTTTGAAGGAAATAGTAATATCTTTATCTTAAAAAGATGTTTGTTTTCTATTGGACCTAAGTGGTACCGCCTTTCTTTTGATACGTCTTTGTATGGATTTTGAAGTCTTCAAAAAAATCTATTAAAAAGGATTTTTTCCCTTGTGCAATTGACACTTTCATCTTAACTAGAGCACGAATCTGAGAAAAAAAGTGTTCACATAAAAGCCTTGGCAGTGTTCGAAGTCATCCACTTGAGCTACGAACAAGCATTTTCTAAAATTGTTTAGTTAAAGTGCTGGAGAAACAACCAATAAGACGTTTTCAGCAATATTTTCTTATAGCAACGTTAAACCGATCTGCGTGTGTAATAAAAGTTAATGAAACAAGCTAATTGAAAGTAACTGTTATTATTTTCCTCCGCCCGCTACGAATAGTAATTTACTAACTGCGGGTGACAGGTATCTCCTCAAATAATCGGTTTTATTCATAAAGTTCGACTGTTGTTGTTCTCATCGAAAACTGAGGGCTTGATTATTTGCCTGTTAATTTCAGTGTAACGACGTCTCAGTTTTGAATTGTGTTCTGAAGAAAATCATTGAATATTTTATCAATAACTTTGGGGGTCGGTTCCGGACCACCAAGTTAAAAAGTGTCTTTTGGGGGTTAGTTCTTAAACATGACAAATCTTCTCAATTTCTGGTAATTGAATGATGAATTCGGCATTCTTTCAACCAAATTTCTTGCCTTGTGAATCATAGCACCTGAACTTCAAACTATATTTCTTCTAGAAATATATGAAAGGGTTCAGAAAGTTGACAACCCCCCTCGTTGCACGCCAACCAAAGCAATTGTCCGCCCTTTATAAACAAGGGCAACGTCAAGGAAATCGCGCAAAAAAGCTTAATATTTCAATGGTTTTTGCACACATCGACTAATTCTAGTTTGTACATTTTTACACATGAAAATTGCTAGAATTACTTCAAACAACGACGAGAGGAAATTGTGGACGAAGAACGATGCACAATAAGTTAGCACCAGTTTTATCTTCTTGTAATTAAACCTTTAGAAGGAAGCGTCACATGACAAGAGATCGATGGCAATAAAATTATGTTTTTCTCCGTCAAAATAGCCGTTTAATAAATTTGGTTATAATGGTTCACTTGGCGTGAATAAAAAGGGCTTTTTTGGAGTTTTCAAAGCGTAACTAAAATCATTTAGAATCATCTCAACTGCTAATATCTCGGATATGATCACCGCGTCTATCGTTTCCGCCCGTCTATTTTCAGCGGGTTGCTTCACCGACCGATTTTCACATAAAAACCTCTGGTACCCAAAGGAAGCTTTTCTAAACATACAAAAAGAAAGTTTGACGTTTTCTTTAATTAGAAGAAATGATTATGAAATTTTTTAGACTAATTAGGGTTAGATTAAAAAGCATTCCTGAGTAGCACGAGTTATTTTTTTTGTTTTTTATTTCCGTCTCCATGACAACAACTACATTTGCATAACCGTGACCGGCGGGTTTTGATACAGAGTTCACTTCCTTCTTAATATGCAGACGAGCACAAAAATATAATTGTGTTATTTTACTTAAATAGGCTCTTAAACCACAGAAAAAAAATGTACTTTTACAAATCTATTTTACGTTAACCAGAATTATTATACTTTCATAACACATCTACTTCACTTTAACTTGTAAACCTTAATTAATCGTAACATCTACTTTCGTACACGGGAATACAAAATGTTTTTTCAAACTATAGACGCAATAGAAATCGACTTTGTCCTTTCAAGTCCATCAACGTAAAATTTTCTTTTATTCATGTAAAATATTATAATCGATAAAATAATTTTAGGTTTTACAGCAAATCATGTTACAAATGTTTACACATTCGTTCCGTTTACATTATAGCACAAGACCTAAAAATCCTGCCGGCGGTGTTGAATATAACATTTGACTTATTTTCTTTAGCTGACTCGATCTCGGACTGTCTATCAATGCACGCCATGGCGAACATTTTGAATTCAGAGTAGTCAAGCTCCTGAAAAAGGAAGAAGCAATAGACAGTTTAATTCTGTGAATTGCAAGTATAGTCCATGTGGCATAAATTTTCGGGAAAGTTCAAGTTTACCGAAGATCAGAAGTTTTTTTAAGAAAAAGCAGAAATTTTATCTGATACTGGTAACGATAAGTTCCTGTCCAATATCTTAGTTAAAGTACTCGAGGTGAGGTAGTAGTCTGCAGTCATTTAGTATGGACTACTTTCTTTTCACAAGGTTTTATTTCTTTTATGGCATCTAATTTTCGCGCATTAGATCTCACGAATATTTTGGCCATGCAGTAAGTTTACTTGCGCGATTATTTTACTTGCTTAGTCTGCCATTTTATAGTCATTGTCAAATGAAAATTGATGTAAACTGTTAGTCAACTTAATATTGGTTGATGGGGTTATAATGAGTGAGATAATCAGTGAACAAAACAAGGTGAGTCAGGATGAAAGGTATATGAATGAATGGATGGAAATATACGTAATGAAAGTATGAACTAAAGAAGTCCTCTTTTCGGTTGCTGCTGAGTATAGAATGGAATGAAACAAAATGAGAGTAAAAACTTACCTGGTCGCCGGAAACATCAAATTCACTAAAGATTGTACGAATGGCTTCTCCCTGCAGATTGAACAGAAATCCAAAAGTCTCGAACTCGTAAGCGGAAATATTCCCGCTGCTATCTTCATCAAGAAGGTCAAACACAGTGCGTGAATGACGGTAAATGAAGTTCTTTTCTACTTTATCCTGCACGGCGATCAAGATACAAATAAGGAGGTAAAATTCATCAAAATCCATGGATCCTGATCCGTCCACATCTAGCATGTCGAACACTTTGTAAATTTGGTTGGTACTAAGATCAGTAGCAGTCTTCATAAAGGCACAGAACTGTACATCGTTGAGGGCCATTTCATCATGAACATCGATCAGGCGAAATAGTTCCAGAATAATGCGAACATTCCTACCTACAACAGACACAGAGGTAGGACTTTTTAACTCTGAAATTATACAGTTTTATATCTTACTTTCCCCGTTTAAAACTCAAGGTCAGGCATTGTTTACTAGAAAGCGTTGATGTAGGAGAGGAATTATAATAAAAACTTAACATCACTAACTTTCTTCATTTGAGGTTTACGTGATATTTTAACTTGACCAGTTCTTTTACTATAAGAATATTGGAAATAATCTTCAAAAAAGAGAGGTAGCTAACACTAATAGTAAGAAGTTTCAATGACAAGGAAAGGAAACACTCTTTAAAAAAAACTTACATGCTAAATGACGATTGTGATAGTCATGATATTGATAATGATAATGATAATGCTGACGACTACGATGGCGATATGATAATAGTGATGATGATAATGAAGAGGATGGCGAAGTAAACAGTATGAACACCAATGGCAAGGATCATTTGGTGCGTCTAATCTACACGGGAAGAAGAAAGGTTTTATTTTTTCGGTAGATTTTTAATAATTATTTAAGTTAGGTTTGATCAAAAAGCCATTTGCGAAGTTGACCAAGTTCAAGCTACCTCTTTATAAATTTTTGGGGTTTAATCGTCTGCGAATTTTGTCTCAGATATTAAGCAATCGGTTACTCAATGTCTTCTGACCATTGCATGATAATACAAAAATTGTCTTTCTCTCTTTCCGTCTCCTGCGCAGAAGTTCTCATCAACATATCATACATCATAGAAAATAGAATTAGCGCTCTTTCCCCCTTCTTCAGTGTAATACCCATAGGTTCAGCGACGGCAGCGCAACGTTGTTGCGATCGATTATTCCATCTCGTTTTAAATGTCATATGTAGGCGGGTTTCCCTGAGAGTGAATTCTTAGGAAGCGTTCACACTAGGTTCCTGGGCACCGTGCCCGCCGAGTACCGCACTCGCTGCTGGGTACTAACGTTAACTGACAACCTTTTTTCAAGTGTCCACGCTAGAATTCGGGCGCGGTGCCAGCGGCCGGTGCTCGAGTACAACAACATCGAGACCTTGTACTCGGGCACGAAGGTAAGCACTGGGTCCCTGTATACACACCGTCTTTGTTAGTTCCTATGGGGCAGTCTATTGCTTTGAACTCGCTGAAGTAACTATGTACACAGTCACATACCGGGCACTAAAGGTGTGAATACAACCCCATGTTGTGCCCCGCCGGGCACCACGTGTGGACAATTCCTTAGGGACCAAACCTATGTTTAAAAGTACCCGGAAAGAGAAATTCGTCGGCCAGTAAGTACGTCTGTCGTAAGAGAATTGAACGTCGTAGCCGTGCGGCGAAGGCAAATAAATGTACAAAAAACAGTCTGCTACACGTTCCCTCTTAGTTAGGAACCCACCGGGTATATTCACGACCCCACAAGCGAAGCGTCGCTTTAAATACTTATCGTGTATAAATAAAGACTATTGATTGATTGATTGATTGATTGATTAAACACTAACTGCAACACAAACTCTTTGAGGACAAAAATTTTTGAATATGCCACCGATGTGTATGCAATATTCGTTTCCCTCAACAAGGGTGAAAACCACAAAGATCAATTTGACTTCTGAACTGGAACACCTACCTGTAAGCAAACAATAAGTTCTATCCAAATGCATATATTTAAGAATCTGTGAACGTATCTTCATTTTTATCTTTTTTCTTTCGCAACTTTTTGAAAAAGTAAACCATTAGGACTGAACACACGTCACAGAAGCGCTTATTGTGACGTTGTTTAGTAAGAACGCAAGAGCAAGTCTTTGTTTTTGTCCGTGCGTGCGTTACTGAGCGTTAAGAATCGAAGTACTTTGATAGACATGGAATACGAACAGTAATTTTTTTTTTTAAAGAAACCCATGACATCTAAAGTTATCTGTAAAATGACAAAGTCGCTGAGTAGTATACTCTACAGTTTTCTCCTATAAGAAGAATTCTCCCAATAGCTGAGCTCCCACGAGCATTCCTCCTTGGATGCACTAAAAAAGTCATAAAACGTCAAGACAAGCTATTTTATCTCCGTGCGCATTTATCACAATTCTTTTATTTTGAAGGCTTCTTGTTCTTATAGGAAAATAACGCAATTAAAGAATGTGCCTACCCTTAGCGTGGATTTCCACTGTCGCGTAATTTTCAAGTATGTACGCACTAAAATTTTACGCGCGTCAATAAAATAGAGATAAATGGAAGGTCACGCGTAAACGCAAAACTTGAGCGAGGTTTAAAGGTTGATTTCCACTGACGCGTTTTTGGCTAGGCACGTCAAAGCACCTAATTAATTTTAATCACGTAAATAAAATCGAGGCACGAGATAAAAAGAGCTGAGCTTAAGCGAGAAGTTGAGCGAGGTTCAACTCTTACGCTTATGAGCGACCTTTCATGCCTTGCCTCCATTTTATTTGCGAACGTAAATTTTACGCACGTACGCACGTAAAAATTACGCGACACTGGAAATCAGCCCCAACTTTGACGTTCACGCGTGACCTTCCATACTTTGCGTCTTTTATTTACGCGCGTAAAATTTACGTGCGTACACAATTGAAAATTACGCGACAGTGAAAATCAGCCCTTAGTCAGTTGATGCTTAAAATACGTCTGCAGTTGAAGAATAAATGTCTAGAATGAGTGATAAGTTTATAGGATACAAGAGGAACAGAACAAACAAACAAAGTAACAATAGAGAAATTGTATGATAATTTATGCGTTAGATTTCGGACTACTGTGTGTACTGTACCTCACTGGTACATTCACTTTCTTCTTACGCCGTACCCTTCTAACTTTTTCGACCTAATAACACGACTTGTAATAAAAAGATATATACAACCAGAAGGAAAAGGAAATTTAAAAAGCTTTGACAAGTAACGACAAAACTAGTGAGCTCACTTAATTATTAAGCCTTATCCTTTTGTCGAGTTTGTGTAACGCAGTCTAGAAATGTTACACCATTATGCGGAAAACTCACACGGGGGACATTCAATATATTTTTTTAAGAATCAATATTCAACGGCGAAGAAGGATTCATTGTCATTGAAATTAAATCAAACAAACCATCAATAGCAACCATCAACTACATGTTATATTTTCAATCTGACATTGAAAAAAATTTTTATTAGTATTATCGGTAACAAGTTCCAAAATATCATGATGATTTAAAGAATAGGAAAATAGTAACAGCGCTGCAGGGAAACCTCTCGTACAAATATAAGTTTTAAACCTAGTTGGTAGAATCTTCCAGGTTTTAATCGAATTAATGTATGCTACAGTAGAAACTTACTTTCGTCAAAGATAATTAGATAAGTCTTTTTCGTAAACTTGATTTCACCTGCTTTCGGTAATATTTAGGAGCTTATCTTTTATATCGGTCCCTTTGTACTTTCAATGGCTGAAGCATCTCCATGTATTCTTGCGTTAACTGATTCAAAGGAAAAGTGTGCTACTCGAAAGCTTGCTTTTTAATGATCTTTTTCTTGCTATCTCTGTGTTAACTTTTCTGTATTTCGCCACTTATCAAACTCAGTAATAACTCGCTTTTTCTCATTTTCACTGCTTATTTTAAAAACGTCGTTTACAGAGTATACTTTGAGAGCCATAAAGCAGAAAGCACAGGGAGTAAAAAGCTGATTTGAGTTTCTAAGTATACATCTTCAAGACTTTATGTTTGCAATAAAATTTGTCCTTCTCATACTGTAAACATTCGTTTTTGATATGATTGGATAGCGTCCATAAAATAGGCTTTAGTTTTATAAAGGCTGAGAGTGTTGTTTTAGCGGAAAACGTAACTTATTTTAATTAGAAAAATGAGTTGATTTTAGTGTAGCTTTCAGTCGAACAATCCAAAAAAGGTTCACCTTTATAATTCGCCTCAATATATTTTTAAGTTAACATCAACTTGCCTTAAATTATTGATTTTAAGTAAATTTTTAATGCAATTTCCTTTACCTCTAGACAAAGTTTTTTGGATAGTTTAGTCGCTTAAAGTCTTACAAAAAAAGGTGTTTCTAATCCAATGTGCTTATCAGAAGGTGGTTGGATTAGAAAAGAAAATTATTAATTTTGATATTGAAAAATAGCTGCAGGATAAAATTAATTCAAAGGTGTAGCTTTCATTTTCGCTTGATTTAGCCACGATTATTTTTCATTTATTCATAGCTGTATTATTTTCATTACTTGATAGTTTGGGAAATATTCGTAGTTAGTTTTTTTACTGTGTCGCGGAACTGGTTCACTTTGCTTTCTTCTTTCGTTGTTTTTGCTTCTTTTTTAGCTTTCGAATCACTTTCCGGCCATGTTACTCCCAAATTATCACATTAAGTCGGTTTTCATCACTTAAAATCCTCCATTAATCTCCCGTTATGTTTCTTGTTTCACATTTGGTTATGATAATTTTCTGAGTCTTTAATTTCCGAGAGAAAAAAAAAGAGCGAATCTGTATGTAATCGCGTCATTGTACGAATGAAATGAAGAAATCGCTGGTGTATTAAATAATTTATCCAACAGGATATTGTCGGGGTTAGGCATCAAATCGAAAGAAGTGAATGGAGTTCATTACGTCTACGAATCAGAAGTGCTTTCCTTTATTTCATTTATTAGTGAATAACGCAGGTTTACTGAGCAACCATTAAACCGACATTGCTTAGTATCCGTTAGCTTATCTACAAACAGGGATTTTTAGGTTACAAAAGGTCGGAAGCAATCAATTTAAGACAGTGTATACATGCAAAACATCGCAGTTTGACCGTACATACATATTGAAGTTGTATCTACAAAAGCGTTCCTCGGATTTTGAAGCCAGTTCCTAACTCAGAGCTGTCAGGTAGGCGGCCTTGAAAAATCGTCGAGGAACGAGTTTAATTAGAAGAAGGGTACATGTGTTCTTCACAATTGATTTCATTTTACTATATTTTGTGAAATAAGAAGTGAACTTATTTTCTTTACTTATTTCATAATCAAGGCAGCAAGAATGAATCAAGTGGTTTCATTTTTTAAGGTGGAAAATCTCATGTGGTTTGTTCATGTTGTTTAAAGGCGAGCGCAGGAAATGCTTCATCTAAGAAGGATATTGAACGTGACACTCGGAAGTTAAAAAGGGTACAATTAGTTTTCACACGCTAATGATCATCTATTTTCTCCTGACTCTAGGCACACAACGATTTCAACCACAGTGAGATTTCATTCCATCATGTCCATGAATCTTACTAATTCCACGACCATTTCAAACGATCAGCAGAGAGGAAATGGCAACTACTTCGAACCTGTTTATGATGGTTTGCTGATAGTACTTTGTGTAGCTGTCATCATAATAAACCTGTTCGTTTTGCTGTTGTATTCCAAAAGAAGACAGTTACATACTAAAACAAACACATTACTGGTCAGCTTGTCCATATCAGACCTCATCATGGGTCTTTGTGGAATACCGCTTTATATCGCATGCAATGCGGTCCGTGAGGGTAACGTTTGTATCGCTCAGTTAGTCATGTTTCGTTTTAGCGCGGTCTCGACAATGTTTCATATTCTTGCCATTACCGGAGAGCGATATTTTAGTGTCATACACCCGTTACAGTACATAAATATTGTAACAGGTCAAATAATCTTACGAATCATTGCTGGGATCTGGCTGATATCGTTTTTCTTCGCTGTTGTTCAGCTCTCTTGGATTTTACCATTTGGCTTTTTCTCAAGGCATCCCACAAAAATGACAGCATCCTTGATCTTCGATTGCGTCGGGTTTGCAGTGTTCTTTGCTATCCCTTTCCTCCTTATGGTTGTTGTTTACGTCCAAATGTTCATCACAATTCACCGACAAGTTCAACAGATCAAAAGACAACAACGAGTCAGTCTTGATTTTTCTTCCTCTACCAACACCTTTTATGCATCTCACACACAGCTTCGCGCATTGTTCATATTTTCTATTATGCTTGTACTGTTCGCGGGCTCGTGGCTTACGTGGTATATCAGTCTTTTTCAGCTATACATCGACTTTTCTTTTATGAGCGAAATATCTATGATGATCTTCGACTTTCTTCGTCTTGGAGTGTCGTTTATTAATCCACTATTGTATACATTTTTGAAAAATGATTTCAGCGAAGCGCTCAAATCATTTCTAAAAAACAGAAGAAAAAATCTCGACATCACTATCAGTCAAACCACAGGAACAACTCATGGGCATTGGAAACAACCACCGAGTCGGAGCAGTTTATAAGACAACTGACAGTCTGACTTGAGATACTGCTTAAGTACTGTGGAGAATAAAGGGGAGTTTCCTCAGTTAACCTGACCTGCCAGAGGTAGCAGTGAGACATCCCAGTAATTATAAAATATGAAGTAAACCACACTAAATAATAAATGTCAAATCCCAATTAAAAAATTGAAGTTATATTCCTTCCGTTTTACATTGTGTTTTATTCTTGATGGAAAATGAAAGAAATTTTTTACTTCATGTCTCATAAATAACCCAGTGCCTTTTTAAAAATATTAAAAATATTTGGGCTAAAGACACGTTCAAGCATGCAACCATTCCTTGAGAATTTTCATTTTTTATTATTTCAAAATTTTTGCTTCCAAGTGTGGCTGGAAAGATCATAAAGTTGTTTTATGATACGGAAATAAATCCCATCTTCTCCAGTGAGCACAGCAGTGAAAAAAGAAATTCTTTTCAGACCGGAGGCTCTTCCCGTCGATAATGCGGGTAGATCTGACCTCAAAACAAGTGATTATCAGTGACTGACCCTTTATTACCAAATTGTTTGCGTTGCGTTGATTAGAGCTTCGCCATCTTGAATGACGATCGAACGCTTGCTCTTAACGGTAAGTAAGGGGAATATACTCAGTTTAATATTTGTTAATTTTTTATTGAAATCTTTTTTAAAAATTGCATGGGAATGCTTTAACGGCGTTTCCTCAGATTGCAAATTTGAGAACCTTCACAACATGATATCAGCTGGGGAGGAAATTCGCTCACAATTGGTATAATGATTCCAAAAACAAAACCATTTTCCTTCGTGCAACTGTTAACGTTTCTTTTTTAATAATTTTATCGTTTTATGGGGTATTGAGCGTCCTGATGAGCCTGGTCATTCATAACATTTTTCTTATGGGCACTGCTAATTGGGTGATTAACTTTCTTATAAAAGCCGTGTAATACACGACTAGAATTAAAAGTCTAAGGGTTAGGGTTAGGGTCTAACTACGGTAATCGTTACTATTTCGTTCAAAACTATCTTTCTGCCGGAACTGGATTCTTACTTTAAAACCCATGTGGTGTATCAAACGGACTAAACGTGTAAGACGGCCTCTTTTCTCTCCGTTTGAGTTTAACTTCTTTGCTAAATCCGCATTTTAAAGCTTTAAATTTGATAAAAAACATCTCTTTGCGGTCACGTGATTTGGGCACTTCTTCCACGTGATTTGCTTCGTCTGAAACTGAGGTAACCGCGCCGTTCACTCAGACGTCACCGGTAACATTTTGGACAGCACTGTTGACTGTTACCTGAAGGAAAAGTTACAAAGGTAATTTAGGAGAAATACCACTAACACAAATAATTTAGGGAAAGTGTTTATCCAGGAGGGATCCAGGCAGACAATGAGGCCATTTCAAATCAAAATTAGACAAAATATCTGATCAATAAAGACCCAATTAACACCCCAGTGTAAGCTGAAAAAGGGTTGTTGTTTGTTACTAGCTGTATTTCCATTGGCACACTGACTGAATGAAATGTTTCTGTGTCACTGATCTGAATACTAAATCTACGGTCGTTTAGTGAGTCCCATCCCAGGCATTCCAACATCGGAGAAACATGGCTAAAACTCGAGTAGTCACAAATTAGCCTACTCTGAGCTGAACCATCTTGATTTGGTGGATGTTATGCTGCGTGTAGGGGTTCTAAGCGCTGCATGCGTACTTTACTGACTTATCAAAGTGCGGTAGGCTGTATGCTTAATTTCGGGGTTACAACCATTCAGGATTCTACGTAGTAAGCCAAGAGCGCGCGGAGTTAGCCTTCTTGCATATATTGTTGACATTTTCGTTCCAGCTCAGGTTGTCA